AATGGCTAGACTCTAAAATTTGTACAATTTCTGGAATTTCTAGATTCTGTATAATTTTTTTAATTACTAGAATCTTTTGAATCTCTATAATCTTTAGAGAGTCGGGAATGTTTGGAATCTTTAAAATCTTAAGAATGTAACGAATTTTTAGGGTCTCTAGGATACTTGGAATCTAAAATTTTTGAAATCTTTGGGATTTTTAAAATTTTTAGAGTGTCTACAATTTTTAGTATTTCCAGAATTTGCAGAATCTCTAGAATGGCTCCAATCGCTAGGCTGTACATCTTGTACAATTTCTAGAATATCTAGATACTGTATAATTTTTTGAATGTCTATAATCTTTAGAATCTTTGAAAATTCCTGAATCTCTAAATCCTATGGAGTTTCTAATATCTTTAGAGCGTCTGGAATCTTTAGAATCTCTAAGCTCTTCAAAAGCTAAAGAATTTTTAGGGTCTCTAGGATACTTAGAATCCCTAGAACTTTTGGAATCTTTGGAATTTTTAACATTTTTACAATTTTTAGAGTGTCCACAATCTTTAGTAAATATCTCCAGAATCTCCAAAACCTCTAGAATCTCTAAAAACTCTCCTTCAAATTTTTCGAACCTGTAGAATTTCTAGAATGGCTAGACTCTAAAACTTGTACAATTTGTGGAATTTCTTGATTCTTTATAAATTTTTTAATTACTAGAATCTTTTGAATCTCTAGAATCTTTAGAGAGTTTGTAAACTTTGTAACCTCTAAAATCTTCAGAATGTAACGAATTTTTAGGGTCTTTAGGATCCTTGGAATCTAAAACTTTTGAAATGTTTGGGATTTTTAGAATTTTTATAATTCTTAGGGTGTCTAGAATTTTTAGTATTTCCAGAATTCCTGGAATGACTGCAATCGCTAGGCTCTACATCTTGTACAATTTCTAGAATTTCTAGATTCTGTATAATTTTTTGAATTTCTAGAATCTTTGTAGTCTCTGAAAACCCTGAATCTGTAAATCCTATGGAATTTCTAGTATCTTTAGAACGTCTGAAATCTTTAGAATCTCTAAAATCTTAACAATCTAAAGAATTTTTAGGGTCTCTAGGATACTTGGAATCCCTAGAACTTTTGGAATCTTTGGAATTTTTAAAATTCTTACAATTTTTAGAGTATCAAGATTCTTTAGTATCACCTGAACCTTTAGAATCTCTAAAAACTCTAGAATCTATAGAGTTCTTCGAATTTTTCGAACCTGTAAAATTTCTAGAATGGCTAGACTCTAAAACTTGTACAATTTCTGGAATTTCTAGATTCTGCATAATTTTTTTAATTACTAGAATCTTTTGAAGCTTTAGAATCTCTAGAACTCTTTAGAGAGTCTAGAAACTTTGGAATCTCTAAAATCTTCAGAATGTAACGAATTTTTGGGGTTTCTAGGATACTTAAAATCTAAAACTTTTGAAATCTGGGATTTTTAGAATGATTACAATTTTTAGAATGTCTACAAATTTTAGTATTTCCAGAATTTCCAGAATCTCTAGAATGGCTGCAATTAGGATCTCTAAAATCTTCAGAATCTTTCGAATTTTTAGGGCCTCTAGGATATTTAGATTCCCTAGAATCTTCAAAGTCTCTATAATTGCTGGAATCGCTGGAATCTAAAACTTTTGGATCTTTGGAATTTTTACAATTTTTAGTGTCCACAATCTTTGGTTTCTCCAGAATGTCCAGAACCTCTAGAATCTCTAAAAACTCTAGAATCTATTAGAATCCTTTGAATTCTTCGAACCTGTAGAATTTCTAAAAATCGGTAGAATTTCTAGAATGGCTAGACGCTAAAATTTGTACAATTTCTGGAATTTCTAGATTCTGTATAATTTTTTTAATTACTAGAATCTTTTGAATCTCTATAATCTTTAGAGAGTCGGGAATGTTTGGAATCTTTAAAATCTTAAGAATGTAACGAATTTTTAGGGTCTCTAGGATACTTGGAATCTAAAATTTTTGAAATCTTTGGGATTTTTAAAATTTTTAGAGTGTCTACAATTTTTAGTATTTCCAGAATTTGCAGAATCTCTAGAATGGCTCCAATCGCTAGGCTGTACATCTTGTACAATTTCTAGAATATCTAGATACTGTATAATTTTTTGAATGTCTATAATCTTTAGAATCTTTGAAAATTCCTGAATCTCTAAATCCTATGGAGTTTCTAATATCTTTAGAGCGTCTGGAATCTTTAGAATCTCTAAGCTCTTCAAAAGCTAAAGAATTTTTAGGGTCTCTAGGATACTTAGAATCCCTAGAACTTTTGGAATCTTTGGAATTTTTAACATTTTTACAATTTTTAGAGTGTCCACAATCTTTAGTAAATATCTCCAGAATCTCCAAAACCTCTAGAATCTCTAAAAACTCTCCTTCAAATTTTTCGAACCTGTAGAATTTCTAGAATGGCTAGACTCTAAAACTTGTACAATTTGTGGAATTTCTTGATTCTTTATAAATTTTTTAATTACTAGAATCTTTTGAATCTCTAGAATCTTTAGAGAGTTTGTAAACTTTGTAACCTTTAAAATCTTCAGAATGTAACGAATTTTTAGGGTCTCTAGGATCCTTGGAATCTAAAACTTTTGAAATGTTTGGGATTTTTAGAATTTTTATAATTCTTAGGGTGTCTAGAATTTTTAGTATTTCCAGAATTCCTGGAATGACTGCAATCGCTAGGCTCTACATCTTGTACAATTTCTAGAATTTCTAGATTCTGTATAATTTTTTGAATTTCTAGAATCTTTGTAGTCTCTGGAAACCCCGAATCTGTAAATCCTATGGAATTTCTAGTATCTTTAGAACGTCTGAAATCTTTAGAATCTCTAAAATCTTAACAATCTAAAGAATTTTTAGGGTCTCTAGGATACTTGGATTCCCTAGAACTTTTGGAATCTTTGGAATTTTTAAAATCCTTACAATTTTTAGAGTATCAAGATTCTTTAGTATCACCTGAACCTTTAGAATCTCTAAAAACTCTAGAATCTATAGAGTTCTTCGAATTTTTCGAACCTGTAAAATTTCTAGAATTGCTAGACTCCAAAACTTGTACAATTTCTCGAATTTCTAGATTCTGCATAATTTATTTAATTACTAGAATCTTTTGAATCTTTAGAATCTCTAGAACTCTTTAGAGAGTCTGGAAACTTTGAAATCTCTAAAATCTTCAGAATGTAACGAATTTTTGGGGTCTCTAGGATACTTAGAATCTAAAACTTTTGAAATCAGGATTTTTAGAATTATTAAATATTTAGAATGTCTACAAATTTTAGAATTTCCAGAATCTCTAGAATGGCTGCAATTAGAATCTCTAAAATCTTCAGAATCTTTCGAATTTTTAGGCACCCTAGGATATTTAGATTCCCTAAAATCTTCAAAGTTTCTATAATTGCTGGAACCACTGGAATCTAAAACTTTTGGATCTTTGGAATTTTTACAATTTTTAGAGTGTCCACAATCTTTGGTTTCTCCAGAATGTCCAGAACCTCTAGAATCTCTAAAAACTCTAGAATCTATTAGAATCCCTCGAATTCTTCAAACCTGTAGAATTTCTAAAAATCGGTAGAATTTCTAGAATGTCTAGACTGGATTTCTAGTTTCTGCATAATTTTTTTAATTACAAGAATCTTTTGAAGCTCTAGAATCTCAAAAATCTTCAGAATGTAACGAATTTTTAGGGTATCTAGGACACTTAGAATCTAAAACTTTTGAAATGTTTGGGATTTTTAGAATTTTTACAATTTTTAGAGTGTCTACAACTTTCAGTATTTCCAGAATTTCCAGGATCTCTAGAATGGCTTCAATCGCTAGGCATTCTAGAGATATAGATCTTATACAATTTCTGGAATTTCTAGATTCTGTATAATTTTTTGAATTTCTAGAATCCTTGGAATCTCTGGAAACCCTGAATCTGTAAATCCTGTGGAATTTCTAGTATCTTTGGAACGTCTGGAATCATTAGAATCTCTAAAATCTTCAGAATCTAAAGAATTTTTAGTTTTTTTTAGTTTTCTTTCAACAACAGGATAGTTTAACATTAATTTTTTATTCATCGTGAGATGAAGGGTGGAGCTTAGTTGTAAAATTCGCATTTCAACTCGAAAAACTGCAAAATCTAAAAGTTGAAACATTCGAAAGTTGGAAAATCGGATAACTGGAAAAGTTAAAAATGGAAACTCGAAGAGATATCGCAGAATTGTAGAAAAGAAAAACAAAACATTGAAAAATTACGAACGGAAAAATTGACGAAACGAAAAGTTGAAAAAACAAAAAATTATAAAATCGGAACATTGAAAAATTGTAAAAAAAAAGAAAATAAAAAACTGAAACGAAAAATTGCAAATGGAAAAATTAAAAATTGAAAAATTCAAAAGGTGAAAACTCGAAAAATTTAAAATCGAAAAAATGAAACAAAAGATTGAAAGATTGAAGAACTGAAAAATTCAAGTCAAAAAAGCTGTGGGACCGTTTATAGAGGATATCAAAAAACAATAATTGCAAAAACAAATTAAAATTTTTCGAAAAAGTGGGATTTATTCGGCTGCATTTCAGACGCGAGGGAAGTTCTGTTGACATAACCTTCGATCAATTTTTTGTAATAAAAAAACTAAACAATTTGTAAAAAAATGCTCCCATCAAAAGGTGAAGAATATTTTTTTGGGTTTTTTTGTACAAATTACAAGTTAATAACTGAAACTATACAATTCCACCATCTGAACGATCTTAGCAGTTCCCACAAGAAATAAAACTTGGTTACTATTTACGACCTTTTATTAGACGGTTATAGGAGCTTGATTAGATTAATATCGGGCGTTCCACGAAAATTCCTACCTAACCGCTGTCTCCCAAGCTATCGCAACGAATTTTTTTGATTTAGTAGAAGTTCGACTATATTTGATAACGTCGTCATAACCATAAAATAATCTCACATGAAATTGTTTACTGATGATGCTTAAATGAAACTTGATTATAAATTTTAGCTTCAAAATCAAATGGTCGCTGTACCGAAGATGGCGGAGGCGACGAATGGGGCGAACCCTCTGGTACTTTCTCATGGCAAGACAACGACGGCGAATCCAACAGAGGCCGAGGCGGCGGCCGAGGTCGCGGCGGTCGAGGAGGCCGCGGCGGCCGAGGCGGAGGTCGGGGCGGCTCCCGCGACGATTTCGAAAACGACGAGGGCGGCCACCGCGGCGGTCGCGGTGGCGGTAGAGGCGGACGCGGTGGTCGAAGAGGAGATCGCGACGGCGAATTCGGCGACAATAAAGTCGAAGGAGGCGGCGAAGAAACAGAGAGGAAGCGGGAGTACTACGTACCGCCTGAGGTTGAAAACGTGGAAGATCTCTTCACTAGTGGTATTTCGACTGGAGTTAATTTTATGAAACTGGACGAAATCGAAGTGAATGTATTGAGTCGTCGTGTGGTGTTGGAACCCTACTTTATTTCTATTTTTTTTAGGTTACCGGGAACGATCCGCCGACCCCAATTACATCGTTTGAAATGTCGGGCTTAAGACCGCACATTTTAGACAATATTAAACGATCTGGTTATACCAAACCTACTGCGATTCAAAAATACTCGATACCTGTTGTTCTTCAGGGCCGCGATTTAATGAGTTGTGCCCAGACAGGCTCTGGCAAGACTGCTGCTTTTATGTTACCTATTATACATGACCTGTTAACTAATAAGAATCCTCCAAACACAGAAAATAATAGTGCGCATCCGATTGTTGTGATTATGTCGCCAACAAGAGAACTAGCAATACAAATTGCCGAACAGGGTCAAAAATTTGCGTACAATTCCACCGTTAAGGTGGCAGTTATTTATGGCGGAACTTCGACAAACCATCAACGTGGTAAAATTTTGGTAATTTTTTTCTACACTAGTTTAAATTCATACTAATTAATTATTAATATTTGGTTTTTGTAGGGTGGATGCCACATCTTGGTGGCCACTCCAGGAAGACTGAAAGATTTTGTCAATCGCGGTTGTGTCTCATTTTCATCTTTGAAATACTTCGTTTTAGACGAGGCCGATCGCATGCTGGACATGGGCTTCTTAGGAGAAGTAGAAGAAATGTTGAGCCATCAATCAATGCCGGCCACCGTAAGTACTGTCATTGTTTAAGTATATTATAGTTGGATAACCTATACGGACAATCACTTTCCCATGTAGAAAAGAATGAATATATATTTTACATCTCACTCGCTTCACTATGAAGTGGCGGTACCTTACGAAAGGGGGTAAAAATAGTCCGTAAGCACGTGATGTCGATAAGGTAGTAAACGGACGTATTAATCAGTACGTTGTACGGGGAGCAGTCACAAAATAAGTAAACGTACGTGTTGAAGACTTTACTGTAATATATGTATATGTAGTGCATACCTGTGTCAAGGTTAAGGTAACAAAAATTTAATATTATCGCGGTATACCTATTATCCATGAACTGCATGGCTAACAAATATGCGTTCCTTCGTCCACTTTAAAGTTATACGAAATTAAACGACCACTACTTTAATTAATAAGTAACAAGTCATCTAATTTGCCTCCAGAATAACTATGGATTATCATCAAACTATGAACACCAAATTAATTCAATATGAACATCTTCTTACGTATTTTTTTTATTAACAGTAGTCAAATCATTAAATACATATTATTTTTGAAACTAAAATGCATTTTATCCTAAGATTGTATCACAAAATATTCATCACCATTTAAATATATACGATTTAGACATCAAGAAATAAATTTAAAATTGCAAAAATTATACTAAAACAGCCTTAAATGTGTCTTGTATGTACGTGCTTATCAGTATGTAGGCATTTTAACGCACAGCAATAATCGTTCTTTATGAGTAATGACTACTGTAACACAGTAAATCCTCGAAATCGAAAATTTAAAACACTGAAAAATTCAAATATGGGAAAATTGTAAAATCGAGAAATCGAAACATAAAAAAATCAAAAAAATAAAAATTGGAAAATCTAAAATTTAAAAATCGAGAAATTGAACAATCGGTTAATTCAAAAATCGAAACATCGAAAAATTGGAAAATCGAAAAATAAAAAAAATTGGACAATCGAAAATTTAAAAATTCCGAAAATTGAAAAATTAAAATATAGAGAACTGAAAACTCAAAAAATTAATAATTTCAAAAATTGAAAAGTTAAAATTGAGAAATCGAAAAACTGAAAAATCACAAAATTAAACGAAATGTCAAAAAATTAGGAAATTAAAAAATTGAGAAAAAAAAGCAGAGTCTAAAAATCGCAAACTTAAAAAATCGAAAAATTGAAGAACTGAAGAACTGAAAAATCGAAACTTTAGGAAGTGGAGAAATGGGAATATAAAAAAATAGATTAATTGAGAAATCCGAAAACTAAAAATTCAGAAACGTCAAAATTTGAAAAATAAAAAAATATTGAAAAACTAAAAAATCGAAAAATCTAAAATTTAAAACATTGAAAAGTTAAAATATCCTAAAACTGAAAAATGGAGAAATCCAAACATCAAAAAATCAAAAATAAAAATAAAAATCTAAAATTTAATAATCGAAAAACTGAAAAATCAACGAATCGAGAAGTGGAGAATTTAAAAAATTGGACAATTGAAAAATCGGATAAATCAAAAATCGAAACATCGAAAAATCGAGAAACCGAAAAGCAAAAAATCAATGAATTGAGATCTCAAAATTTAAACATTCGTAGAATTAAAAAATTAAAATATAGAACTGGAAACTCGAGAAACTGAAAAATCTAGAAATTTAAAAATTAAAATATGAAAAAGTTGAAAAATTGAGAAATTGAAATAAAAAACAAAAAACTGAAAATCCAAAAATAAAAAATAGAAAAATCTAGAAGTCGAAAAATGAAAGAATCGAAGCATTGAAAAATATCAAAACTGAAAGAAATTTCCAAAAATTGAGAAATCGACAAACCAATAAAGCGAAGTCGAAAAATCGAAGAATTGAAGAACTGAAAAATCGAAACTTTGAGAAGTGGGAAAATCAAAAATAGATTAATTGAGAAATCAGAAAACTGAAAATTTAACGCAAAAATTTGAAAAATTCAAAAATTTAAATACTGAAGAACTGAAAAGTCAAAAAATCGAGAAATCGAAAAAACTAAAATTTAAAACAATGAATAATTAAAATATCGCAAAATTGAAGAATCGAGAGATCCAATTCAATTTGAAAAATTGAAAAATCGGAGCATTGAAAAATTGGAAAATCCAGAAATTGAAAAGCTCAAAAGAAAAAATCGAAAAACCGAGAAATCCAAAAATCGAAACATCGAAAAATTCAAAAACTGAGACTTCGAGAAATCGAAAAATCGGAGGATCGAGAAATTGAGGAGTCGGAAGCCGAAAAGGAAAGTTAAAAATTGAAAAATTGAGAAATCGAGCAATCAAAACAACGAAACATCTGAATTCGATAAATTGGGAAATTAAAAAATTGAATAATGGAAAAATTTTAAAAAAGAAAAACTGGAAAATCTAAAATTTAAAAATCGAGAAATTGAACAATCGGTTAATTCAAAAATCGAAACATCGAAAAATTGGAAAATCGAAAAATAAAAAAAATTGGACAATCGAAAATTTAAAAATTCCGAAAATTGAAAAATTGAAATATAGAGAACTGAAAACTCAAAAAATCGAAAAAAATTAATAATTTCAAAAATTGAAAAGTTAAAATTGAGAAATCGAAAAACTGAAAAATCACAAAATTAAACGAAATGTCAAAAAATTAGGAAATTAAAAAATTAAGAAAAAAAAGCAGAGTCTAAAAATCGCAAACTTAAAAAATCGAAAAATTGAAAAATCAAAAACCTGAATAATCGAAAAATTGAAGAACTGAAGAACTGAAAAATCGAAACTTTAGGAAGTGGAGAAATGGGAATATAAAAAAATAGATTAATTGAGAAATCCGAAAACTAAAAATTCAGAAACGTCAAAATTTGAAAAATAAAAAAATATTGAAAAACTAAAAAATCGAAAAATCTAAAATTTAAAACATTGAAAAGTTAAAATATCCTAAAACTCAAAAATGGAGAAATCCAAACATCAAAAAATCAAAAATAAAAAAATCTAAAATTTAATAATCGAAAAACTGAAAAATCAACGAATCGAGAAGTCGAGAATTTAAAAAATTGGACAATTGAAAATTCGGATAAATCAAAAATCGAAACATCGAAAAATCGAGAAACCGAAAAGCAAAAAATCTAAAAACCAACAAATCGAAAAATCGAAACATTGTAAAATTCAAAAAGTGAGACATCGAGAAATCGAAAAATCAAAATACAAAAAAAATCGAGGAGTCGAAAAATCAAAAAAATTGAGAAACCGAAGTAGGCCAAAATCGAAAAATCGAAAACTTAAATATGGAAAAATTGATAAAGCGAGAGATTGAATAATCAAAACATGGAAACATCCGAATCTCAATGAATTGAGATCTCAAAAAATTTAAACATTCGTAGATTTAAAAAATTAAAATATAGAATTGGAAACTCGAGAAACTGAAAAATCTAGAAATTTAAAAATTAAAATATGAAAAAGTTGAAAAATTGAGAAATTGAAATAAAAAACAAAAAACTGAAAATCCAAAAATAAAAAATAGAAAAATCTAGAAGTCGAAAAATGAAAGAATCGAAGTATTGAAAAATATCAAAACTGAAAGAAATATCCAAAAATTGAGAAATCGACAAACCAATAAAGCGAAGTCGAAAAATCGAAGAATTGAAGAACTGAAAAATCGAAACTTTGAGAAGTGGAAAAATCAAAAATAGATTAATTGAGAAATCAGAAAACTGAAAATTTAACGCAAAAATTTGAAGAATTCAAAAATTTAAATACTGAAGAACTGAAAAGTCAAAAAATCGAGAAATCGAAAAAACTAAAATTTAAAACAATGAATTATTAAAATATCGCAAAATTGAAGAATCGAGAGATCCAATTCAATTTGAAAAATTGAAAAATCGGAGCATTGAAAAATTGGAAAATCCAGAAATTGAAAAGCTCAAAAGAAAAAAATCGAAAAACCGAGAAATCCAAAAATCGAAACATCGAAAAATTCAAAAACTGTGACTTTGAGAAATCGAAAAATCGGAGGATCGAGAAATTGAGGAGTCGGAAGCCGAAAAGGAAAGTTAAAAATTGAAAAATTGAGAAATTGAACAATCAAAACAACGAAACATCTGAATTCGATAAATTGAGAAATTAAAAAATTGAATAATCGAAAAATTTTAAAAAAGAAAAACTGGAAAATCAAAAATTAAAATTCAAAAAATCGAAAAATTGAAATATAGAAGAACTGAAAACTCGAGATATCGAAAAACCTAGAATTTTAAAAAATGAAATATTAAAACATCGAAAAGTTTAAAAATTGAGAAATCGAAGCATTAAACAGTCCCAAATTGAAAATCCAAAAAGGATAAAAGCGAGAAATCAAAAAAAATCCATCTCGAAAAATTGAAATATTGAAAAATCTCATAACTGAAAGAAATATTCAAAAAATTGAGAAATTAAAAAATTGGAAAATTGAGAAATCGAAAATCTAAAAAAGCAAAATTGAAAAATCGTAATCTTAAAAAATCGAAAAATTGAGGAATTGAAGATGTGAAAAATCGAAACTTTAGGAAATCCAGAAATGGACAAATAAAAAAAAAACTTTAGAAATCGGCAAACTGAAAATTTAGAAACGTGAAAATTTGAAAAATTGAAAAATCGAAATATTTAAAAATCGTAAAATTGAAGAGGACAAAAATTGAGAAATCGTATCATTGAAACATCGTAAAATCGAGAAATCGAAACATAAAAAAATCAAAAAAATTAAAATTGGAAAATCTAAAATTTAAAAATCGAGAAATTGAACAATCGGTTAATTCAAAAATCGAAACATCGAAAAATTGGAAAATCGAAAAATAAAAAAAAATTGGACAATCGAAAATTTAAAAATTCCGAAAATTGAAAAATTGAAATATAGAGAACTGAAAACTCAAAAAATCGAAAAAAATTAATAATTTCAAAAATTGAAAGGTTAAAATTGGGAAATCGAAAAACTGAAAAATCACAAAATTAAACGAAATGTCAAAAAATTAGGAAATTAAAAAATTGAGAAAAAAAAGCAGTCTAAAAATCGCAAACTTAAAAAATCGAAAAATTGAAAAATCAAAAACCTGAATAATCGAAAAATTGAAGAACTGAAGAACTGAAAAATCGAAACTTTAGGAAGTGGAGAAATGGGAATATAAAAAAATAGATTAATTGAGAAATCCGAAAACTAAAAATTCAGAAACGTCAAAATTTGAAAAATAAAAAAATATTGAAAAACTAAAAAATCGAAAAATCTAAAATTTAAAACATTGAAAAGTTAAAATATCTTAAAACTGAAAAATGGAGAAATCCAAACATCAAAAAATCAAAAAAAAAATCTAAAATTTAATAATCGAAAAACTGAAAAATCAACGAATCGAGAAGTCGAGAATTTAAAAAATTGGACAATTGAAAATTCGGATAAATCAAAAATCGAAACATTGTAAAATTCAAAAAGTGAGACATCGAGAAATCGAAAAATCAAAAGACAAAAAAAATCGAGGAGTCGAAAAATCAAAAAATTGAGAAACCGAAGTAGGCCAAAATCGAAAAATCGAAAACTTAAATATGGAAAAATTGATAAAGCGAGAGATTGAATAATCAAAACATGGAAACATCCGAATCTCAATGAATTGAGATCTCAAAAAATTTAAACATTCGTAGATTTAAAAAATTAAAATATAGAACTGGAAACTCGAGAAACTGAAAAATCTAGAAATTTAAAAATTAAAATATGAAAAAGTTGAAAAATTGAGAAATTGAAATAAAAAACAAAAAACTGAAAATCCAAAAATAAAAAATAGAAAAATCTAGAAGTCGAAAAATGAAAGAATCGAAGTATTGAAAATTATCAAAACTGAAAGAAATATCCAAAATTTGAGAAATCGACAAACCAATAAAGCGAAGTCGAAAAATCGAAGAATTGCAGAACTGAAAAATCGAAACTTTGAGAAGTGGGAAAATCAAAAGTAGATTAATTGAGAAATCAGAAAACTGAAAATTTAACGCAAAAATTTGAAAAATTCAAAAATTTAAATACTGAAGAACTGAAAAGTCAAAAAATCGAGAAATCGAAAAAACTAAAATTTAAAACAATGAATAATTAAAATATCGCAAAATTGAAGAATCGAGAGATCCAATTCAATTTGAAAAATTGAAAAATCGGAGCATTGAAAAATTGGAAAATCCAGAAATTGAAAAGCTCAAAAGAAAAAAATCGAAAAACCGAGAAATCCAAAAATCGAAACATCGAAAAATTCAAAAACTGAGACTTCGAGAAATCGAAAAATCGGAGGATCGAGAAATTGAGGAGTCGGAAGCCGGAAAGGAAAGTTAAAAATTGAAAAATTGAGAAATTGAACAATCAAAACAACGAAACATCTGAATTCGATAAATTGAGAAATTAAAAAATTGAATAATCGAAAAATTTTAAAAACGAAAAACTGGAAAATCAAAAATTAAAATTCAAAAAATCGAAAAATTGAAAAATTGAAATATAGAAGAACTGAAAACTCGAGATATCGAAAAACCTAGAATTTTAAAAAATGAAATATTAAAACATCGAAAGTTTAAAAATTGAGAAATCGAAGCATTAAACAGTCCCAAATTGAAAATCCAAAAAGGATAAAAGCGAGAAATCAAAAAAAATCCATCAATTCAAAAATCGAAAAGTCGAAAAATTGAAATACTGAAAAATCTCATAACTGAAAGAAATATTCAAAAAATTGAGAAATTAAAAAATTGGAAAATTGAGAAATCGAAAATCTAAAAAAGCAAAATTGAAAAATCGTAATCTTAAAAAATCGAAAAATTGAGGAATTGAAGATGTGAAAAATCGAAACTTTAGGAAATCCAGAAATGGACAAATAAAAAAAATACTTTAGAAATCGGCAAACTGAAAATTTGAAAAATTGAAAAATCGAAATATTTAAAAACCGTAAAATTGAAGAGGACAAAAATTGAGAAATCGTATCATTGAAACATCGTAAGATTGAGAAATCGAAAAATAAAAAAATCGAGAAATAGAAAATTTAAGGAATGAAGGAATCGGAAAAGCCCAAAATTGAAATATTGAAAAATTGAGACATTTAAAGTTGAAAAATCGAGAAATCGACAAGCCGAAAAATCCCAATAGCGTATTTAGGTATAAATCACAAGATCAGGACTATTCTACTTTTTAAAATTTAAATACATAACATTATAAATTGGAAAATGTTGATTTTTTTTTCCAAAAATCTTGACGTCTAAGGTGAAAACTCGACACGGATGCATAAACCGTAAACGGGGCGAAACTACAATTTTACTATTGTAAAATTTGGAGATTGCGTCATTTCATTGTTCGTGACAAATTTTGGAGGGTGTAATTTGATAATACAATTTGCAATGTAAATTTTATCATTCGGGAACATTATGTATTAAATCGTTAAGATGTTCAAGAACTTTGTTCACTTATTCGTTGTAAAGTCCAGTGGTCGAAACGGGTTAGTTCTTCGTAATAGATGTGTATCAGATCAACTCTAACGAATATCGGTTTATAGATAAATCGCTTAAAGCTGATATTGGCCTGAGTGTGCTTTGGTCTGTAAATCAAACAAGTTCTCAGGCGAAGAAAAATTGCATGTGGAGGGAGACTTCGGATTACAAATCGTGCCAAGAAAGACATATTTGGGAGAGATGGATTTTCAGGTGCTTGACTAGCGGTAATTTTAAATTGTTTGCTGTCGTTCGCGAAGTGAAGAACACAATTTCATTAAAATGATAATTATAAAATTATCATAATCACTATTGGTGTTAATTAACACAAATGATTTCGTTAATAAATTCATAGAAACCTATATGGGATTTTTTCATGCCTTAGAAAATTAAAAAGTAAAAAATACAATAACAAAAATTTTAAAATGCGGTTTACGAAAAATTAGTTGACCTGTGCAAAGAAGAAAATTTTGGAAACGCTGACAAATATGACATCTTAAAAAAAAAAACACTTGAAGAAGTGCTTTCGGCGTAATGTTTTTGATGCTCGCGTGAACAAAATACTCTGTCAGTGTGCAGTGCGCAAAGAGTTAACTGTGCAGATCTAGCCGAAAATCGGAAGTAATAAATCATCCCATCGGTTGAAGAACGTTGGGTCGGTGCACTGATGTCGGTGTTATATCCCGAGAGGGGCCCAATACACCCAATAAAATGGAACAGACAAAATAAAGCTTCAAACATGATTATTTTTATACTAAAATTCTGAAGTTTATACACTGCACATTTTATTTATTTATTTATTTTATCTTGTTTTCGAACTATAATAAACATTTCAAACAATGTCTGTAACTTATTTTAATGTAAATTATATTCATGTGGTTAACAAAATCAGATGTAATATTAGTGTGATTTTGACCTTATTCTAGATTTTATTACAGCAGAACGGCGTATCCTTTTTAAATTTTAGAAGTTACGGAAACTAGTTCAAGAAACAATTAGTTATCTCGTATTTTTGGAACAAAATCTACCAAAATGTCCGATAACAGCAATTGTTTTTCATAGAAACAAACAGTCTTCAAAGCAGCCTTTAACAACTCGATATTACAAACATGCCTCTTAAGTTCTTTATGCGTTTTTTTCTCTCTTGTAATTATTTGTAATGTTAACGCCGAACGTTTGTGTCATTCTGTTATTTACTTTGAACATATATTTTCATTTTGTGTTAATATTTTTGTAACACCACGAATCTAAATTTTACTTAAAATCTTGTTTTACTTTAATCTTGTAAAACTAAACAATTATACCAGTTTAAAAACCCTTGGTAAGTTTCTGTCAGTCTTCAGATATAGTCAAATAAAAATATGCGTCAAATTCATTTAAATTCAATTCTTTCTTATCACGTTACAACGCGTTGCTTCATATTTTTTATGTCAAGTATATTTTCATATTTTGTACATATATGTTTATACACATTACTGTTTACGGAACAATGTTAATTATGGATTTATGGATAATTCCTCGTATAAGAGCAGAGTGAAGGGTGTTTGCCTTTGCTAATGTTTGATGGCGCCATCTGATTTAGAGTAAAATAAACGTAATACGTTGGCTCACTGTAGTGAAAATGCGCGTTGACGAAAAATTTGTCCCACACCCCCTGGATTCCTTGTCCTAAAGCTCACTATTTAGGCGAAGTAAAATTTGTATTAGGTTGTCCAACTATAATATACTTAAACAATGGTACTGTATAGCCTGTCCGAACTGCGGTCCAAATTTTGTAACTACCAAAAATCTATCTACATTTTTCATCTTGTCTTTTCAGGGAGAAAGAAAAACATTGATGTTTTCAGCCACTTTTCCCGAAGAAATCCAAGAGTTGGCGGGAAAATTCTTACACAACTACATTTTTTTGGCTGTGGGAATTGTAGGAAGCGCATCAACAGACGTCGAACAAAAATTCTTTCAAATAGGCAAGTACGAGAAAAGAACTAAACTACTAAGCATACTGGAACAGGCTCCAGACGATCGAACTTTGATATTCGTTGAAACAAAACGAAATGCCGATTTTCTAGCTTCCTTTTTGAGTGAGCAAAATATTCAGTCTACTAGTATTCATGGTGATAGGTATCAAAGTGAAAGAGAACAAGCCCTGCTTGATTTCAAAACCGGTAGAAGAAAAGTATTGGTTGCCACTGGAGTCGCCGCTAGAGGACTTGATATCAAGGACGTACAACACGTCATTAACTACGACTTGCCAAATTCGATTGACGAGTACGTGCATAGAATTGGGAGAACCGGTCGCGTAGGAAATTACGGTAGAGCTACTAGTTTCTTTGACGATGAACACGATCGCAATCTAGCGCCTGCACTAGCTAAGATTCTTTCTCAAGCCAGTCAAGAAATTCCAGAGTGGCTGGGAAGCTATAGTCATGGGGGTTCTGCTAATCAATTTGGTGGACGAGATATTAGAGGGGTACTTGAAGTTTTAATCAGTGTTATTTTTACTGTAATAATGTTATTTTCTTTTAGGATAATTTCGGCCGTGGTCAAGATTTTGGAGCGCCACCTGTTGACATAGAAGACTCATGGTAGAGAATACCATGCATGACACTTAATTCTTGTTCTCATTAAGTAGCTTTGCTTTTTTTTTTTTCTTGATTTATATAGTTTGGTATTACAGAATGTTTGCACATTACGTGTTGAGTTTTGTTTTAGTTCTAGTGTTTACCGTTTTCATATATTCGATTTTCTCTGTTGACAAAAACTGTGATACTTAACTTTTAGAACTAATAGTTACAGTATCCTTATTATATTGTTATACAAAGAGGAGAAGCATTCCAAGTTGATTTCAATAAATATTTTTGCATACTTACGTAGTGTTTGTAATTTCTTTGCTTAGGTATTAGAGCTTCAGGAAATTTCATCAAACAAACCTTAAAATACAATATCGTGCTGTGATTTCAAAAGCTTTTTCTTTCACTAGTAGCCATAAATTGTCGATTTATATTGAGGCAGTGAAGTTCAATTTTACTATTATTTATTTTTAATATATGCCCACTAAATTTAGAAAGTGGTGGATTGTTTAACTATGAGGTTGGTAACCATGTTGCTGCGTCAAAATCACGTGTTTTCGAAAGGGCTATCTAAAGTACTTTGGAATTAAATTCTAGTCAATTTATTAAGCTATTAAAGTTTTAGTGGTTGCAAATAATGCATCTGAGTGACAAAAAAATTACTTTTTTAAAATAAACTATGCAACTAACAATACTTGAGTATATGCACGGTAGTTGGTAGACGGTGGAAAACATAGACAAAGCACGCTCTGTTAGTGTCTGTTACTTTGTCTATGGTGGAAAATTAAATTAATTCACCGACAAGTTTAGTGCCGCCTCTCAGATTTGAACTTTACTAAAGACCCATGACAAAGACCACACGCATTTGTATAACTTGCCTAAATGTTTCATTTCTTATTAAAAAATGAACAACAGCAACTTCTAATTGCTGAGGAAATTTTGTCAAAGATGTTTGCGGATTCTGCTCAAATCGTCTCAAATCATCAACAACTTCCTTAGATACTGCAGGTCTTCCAGGAGACTTCCCTTTGTTGACACTGCCAGTTCGAACAAATCTGTCTCTAATGTGAAATGTGAGCTTCTAACGATGTCTTAAGAATTATTAAATCACGATATTTGGCCAGATATTCTTCTGTCAGATCAAGAGGCGGGGCTTAATTGGAAAATCCGTTTGTTTACAAAAATTTACCATTTGAATATGTTTTAAGTTGCTTGTTCTGAAAAGGCGACTACGTATATTAAGAAAAAAGGCAAAGTATAAGCCCCGCCCACCCACCCTATCTCAATTGTGATGATTTTTTTTTAATCGTCGAGAGCCAAAGGAGCGGAATTGTACTGCAAAATCCGTATCATTTCTCTACAAGAAATTACCATCAAAGACATGTTTTTGAGTATCGTGTTATTCAAAGAATACTACGTATATTAAGAAAAAATGAAATTAATAAATTGTAGAAATAGAGTCCAGCGATTCTAGAGATCCTAAAGATTATATAGATTTTAGAGTTTTTAGAGATTCTAGATTCTGGAGATACCAAAGATTGTGGATACTCTAAAAATTGTAAAAATTTTAAAAATTCCAAAATTTCTAGGGATTCTAAGCATCCTACAGACCCTTCTTTAGATTCTGAAGATTTTAGAAATTCTAAAGATTCCAGACGTTCTAAAGATACTAGAAATTCCATAGGATTTACAGATGCAGGGTTTTCAGAGATTCCAAAGATTCTAGAAATTCAAAAAATTATACAGAATCTAGAAATTCTAGAAATTGTACAAGATGTAGAGCCTAGCGATTGCAGCCATTCTAGAGATTCTGAAAATTCTGGAAATACTAAAAATTGTAGACACTCTAAAAATTGTGAAAATTCTAAAAATCCCAAAGATTTCAAAAGTTTTAGATTCTAAGTATTCTAGAGACCCTAAAAATTCGTTACATTCTGAAGATTTTAGAGACTCCAAATTTTCCAGGCTCTCTAAAGATTCTAGAGATTCAAAAGATTCTAGTAATAACAAATTATACAGAATCTAGAAATTCCAGAAATTGTACAAGTTTTAGAGTTTAACCATTCTAAAAATTCTACAGGTTCGAAAAATTCGAAGGATTCTAAAGATTCTAGAGGTTCTGGAGATTCTGGATATACTAAAGATTGTGGACACTCTAAAAATAGTAAAAATTTTGAAGACTCCAAAGATTCCAAAAGTTCTAGGGATTGTTTAGATCCTGAAGATTTTAGAGATTCTAAAGATTCCAAACGTGCCAAAGATACTAGAAATTCCTCCATAGCATTTACAGATTCAGGGTTTCCAGAGATTCGAAAGATTGTAGAAATTCAAAAAATTATACAGAATCTAGACATTCTAGGAATTGTACAAGATGTAGAGTCTAGCGATTGCAGCCATTCTAGAGATTCTAAAAATTTTGGAAATACTAAAAATTGTAAAAATTCTAAAAATGCCAAAGATTCCAAAAGTTTTAGATTCTAAGTATCCTAGAGACCCTAAAAATTCCTTACATTCTATAGACTTTAGAGATTCCAAAGTTTCCAGACTCTCTAAAGATTCTAGAGATTCCAGAGATTCAAAAGATTCTAATAATTAAAAAAAATATGCAGAATCTAGAAATTACAGAAATTGTAAAAGATGTAGAGTCTAGCCATTTTAGAAATTCTACAGATTTTTAGGGATTCTATAAATTCTAGAGTTTTTAGAGATTCTGGAGGTTCTGGAGATTCTGGAGAAACCAAAGATTGTGGATATTCTAAAAATTCTAAAAATTCCAAAGATCGAAAAGTTTTAGATTCCAGAGATTCCAGCCATTCTAGAAATTCTAAAGATTATATAGATTTTAGAGTTTTTAGAGATTCTCGAGGATCTGGAGATTCTGGAGATACTAAAGATTGTGGACACTCTAAAATTAGGAATTCTAAGTAGATTTCAAAAGTTTTAGATTCTAAGTATCCTAGAAACCCAGAAAATTTGTTACATTCTGAAGATTTAGAAACTCCAAAGTTTCCAGACTCTCTAAAGATTCTAGAGATTCAAAAGATTCTAATAATTAAAAAAATTATGCAAAATCTAGAAATTCCAGAAATAGTTTTAGAGTCTAGCCATTCTAGAAATTCTACAGGTTCGAAAAATTCGTAAGATTCTGTAGATTCTAGAGTTTTTAGAGATTCTAGAGGTTCTGGAGATTCTGGAGGTACCAAAGATTGTGGACACTCTAAAAATTATGAAATTTTAAAAATTCCAAAGATTCCAAATGTTCTGGGGATTCTAAGTATCCTAGTGTGATGTCTTATTTGGTCATTTTTCTAGCTTATATATTCTGTCAACTGTCATTCTCTATCTCTTTTTTAAGCTAGTTCATTACACCTAGAGACCCTAAAAATTCTTTAGATTCTGAAGATTTTAGAGATTATAAAGATTCCAGACGTTCTAAAGATACTATAGAAATTCCATAGGATTTACAGATTCAGTGTTGCCAGAGATTCCAAAGATTTTAGAAATTCAAAAAATTATACAGAATCTAGAAATTCTAGAAATTGTAAAAGATGTAGAGTTTAGCCATTCTATAAATTCTAGAGTTTTTAGAGATTTTGGAGGTTCTGGAGATTCTGGAGAAACCAAAAATTGTGGATATTCTAAAAATTCTAAAAATTCCAAAGATCGAAAAGTTTTAGATTCCAGCGATGCCAGCCATTCTAGAGATTCTAAAGATTATATAGATTTTAGAGTTTTTAGAGATTCTCGAGAATCTGGAGATTCTAGAGATACTAACGATTGTGGACACTCTAAAAATTGTAAAAATTTTAAAAATTCCAAAGATTCCAAACGTTCTAGGAATTCTAAGCATCCTAGAGACCCTAAAAATTCTTTAGATTCTGAAGATTTTAGAGATTCTAAAGATTCCAGACTTTCTAAAGATACTAGAAATTCCATAGGATTTACAGATTCAGGGTTTTCAGAGATTCCAAAGATTCTAGAAATTCAAAAAATTAGAGAGAATCTAGAAATTCTAGAAATTGTACAAGATGTAGAGCCTAGCGAGTTTCAGCCATTCTAGAGATTCTGGAAATTCTGAAAATACTAAAAATTGTAGACACTCTAAAATTCTAAAAATATCAAAGATTCTAAGTATTCTAGAGACCCTAGAAATGCTTTAGATTCTCAAGATTTTAGAGATTCTAAAGATTCCAGACGTTCTAAAAGACTAGAAATTCCATGGGATTTACAGATTCAGGGTTTCCAGAGATTTCGAAGAATCTAGAATTTCAAAAAATTATACAGAATCTAGAAATTCTAGAAATTGTACAAGATGTAGAGCCTAGCGATTGCAGCCATTCTAGTGATTCTGGAAATTCTGGAAATACTAAAAAATGTATACACTCTAAAAATTGTAAACATCACAAAGACTTCAAAAGTTAGATCCTAAGAATCCTAGAGACCCTAAAAATTAGTTACATTCTAAAGATTTTAGAGATTCCAAAGTTTCCAAACTCTTTAAAGATTCTAGAGATTCTAGGGATTCAAAAGATTCTAGTAATTAAAAAAATTATACAGAATCTAGAAATTCCAGAAATTGTACAAGTTTTAGAGTCTAGCCATTCTAGAAATTCTACCGATTTTTAGAGATTCCACAGGTTCGAAAAATTCGAAGTATTCTATAGATTCTAGAGTTTTTAGAGACTCTAGACATTCTGGAGAAACCAAAAATTGTGGACACTCTAAAATTGTAAAAATTCTAAAAATTCCAAAGGTCTAAAAGTTTTAGACTCCAGTGGTTCCAGCAATTCTAGAGATTTTGAAGATTCTAGGGAATCTAAATATCCTAGAGGCCCTAAAAATTCGAAAGATTCTGAAAATTATTCTTAAGTTTCCAGACTCTCTGAAGATTCCAGAGATTCCATAGGATCTAGGTATACAGAGATTCTAAAGATGTTAAAGATTCCAGTAATTCAAAAAATTATACAAAATCTATAAATTCCAGAAATTGTACAAGTTTTAGAGTCTAGCCATTCTAGAAATTCTATCGATTTTTTGAAATTCTACAGGTTCGAAACATTCGAAGGATTCTAATAGATTCTAGAGTTTTTAGAGATTCTAGAGGTTCTGGAGATTCTGGAGAAACCAAAGATTGTGAACATTCTAAAAATTGTAAAAATTCCAAAGATCCAAAAGTTTTAGATTCCAGTGGTTCCAGCAATTGTAGAGATTTTGGAGATTCTAGGGAATCTAAATATCCTAGAAGCCCTAAAAATTCGAAAGATTCTGAAGATTTTAGAGATTCTAAAGATTCCAGACGTTCTAAATATACTATAAATTCCATAGGATTTACAGATTCAGGGTTTCCAGAGATTCCAAAAATACTAGAAATTCAAAAAATTATACAGAATCTAGAAATTCTATAAATTGTACAAGATGTAGAGCCTAGCGGTTGCAGCCATTCTGGAGATTCTGGAAATTCTGGAAATACTAAAAATTGTAAAAATTTTAAAAATCCTAAAGATTTCAAAAGTATTAGATTCTAAGTATCCTAGAGACCCTAAAAATTCGTTACATTCTGAAGATTTTAGAATTTCCAATAAACGCTATTATTATTATTATTAGTATTATTATTAATATTATTATTTTAGAGATTCCAAATTTTCCAGACTCTCTAAAGATTCTCTGATGAGGTAGATATTTATATAGTATAAACATTATTTTTGACTTCCAAAGATTCTTCTAATTAAAAAAATTATACAGAATCTAGAAATTCCAGAAATTGTACAAGTTTTAGAGTCTAGCCGTTCTAGAAATTCTACAGATTTTTAGAGATTCTAGAGGTTTTGGAGATTCTGAAGAAACCAAAGATTGTGGACACTCTAAAAATTGTAAAAATTCCAAAGAGTCCAGAAGTTCTAGAGATTCTAAGTATCCTAGAGACCCTAAAAATTCTTAAATTCTGAAGATTCTAGAGATTCCAAAGATTCCAGACGTTCTAAAGATACTAGAAATTCCATAGGACTTACAGATTCGGAGTTTCCTGAGAATCCAAAGATTCTAGAAATTAAAAAAATTATAGAGATAGTAGAAATTCCATAGGATTTACAGATTCAGGGTTTCCAGAGATTCCAAAGATTCTAGAAATTCAAAAAATTGTACAGAATCTAGAAATTCTAGAAATTGTACAATATGTAGAGCCTAGCGAATGCAGCCATTCTAGAGATTCTGGAAATTCTGGAAATACAAAAAATTATACTCTTTTAAAATTGTAAAAATTCTAAAAATCCCAAAGATTTCAAAAGTTTTAGATTCCAAGTATCCTAGAGACCCTAAAAATTCTTTACATTTTGAAGATTTTAGAGTTTCCAAAGTTTTCAGACTCTCAAAAGATTCTAGTGATTCTAGAGATTCAAAAGATTTCAGTAATTAAAAAATATATACAGAATCTAGAAATTCCAAAAATTGTACAGGTTTTAAAGTCTAGCCATTCTAGAAATTCTACAGGTTCGAAAAATTCGAAGGATTCTATAGATTCTAGAGTTTTTAGAAATTCTAGAGGTTGTGGAGATTCTGGAGATACTAAAGATTGTGGACACTCTAAAAATCCAAATTATATAGATTCTAGTGGTTCCAGCAATTGTAGAGATTTTGAAGATTCTAGGGAATCTAAATATCCTAGAGGCCCTAAAAATTCGAAAGATTCTGAAAATTATTCTTAAGTTTCCAGACTCACTAAAGATTCCAGAAATGTCAAAGATCAAGAGATTATACAGAATCTAGAAATTCCAAAGAAAGTACAAAAAAATAAGGATTTTACAATTAAGCTCTGCCTCTCGGCTTACGACGAATAAAAAAATCATCAGAATTGAGACAGGGCGGGTGGGTGGGGCTTTATTTTTCTTAATATACATGGACATCTTTTCACAACAAGCAACATGGTACATTTTTGAAAGGAAATATGGATTTTGCAATAAAATTATAGGGCGGAGGCTTATTGCAAAATCGATATTTCCTTATATAAAATTTACATTTTAAACATGTTTTAATAAGTTTCATGTTTCGAAAAGATAAAAGGTAGGCCCGCCCACCCGCCCTATTTTAATTGTGATGATCTTTTTTTGCCGTGAAACAAGGGGGCGGAGCTTAACTGAAAAATACCTAATTTTTTTACAAGAAATTAAAATCATGCTTTTGAGTATCGTGTAGTTCAAGGAATACTATGAGTGTTAAAAAAAAGGCAAAATATAAACCCCACCCACCCACCCCGTCGCAATTGTGATGATTAATCTTGGCTTTTAATTTTTTCTTAATATATAAAAGCATTTTTTGAACAACACGATACTCAAAAGAATGTTTTTAATTTTTCCCAGAGAAAACATGTCTAAAATGGTAAATTTTTGCAGTAATCAACTTAAATCCTTCATTTTTCTTCTACAGCCCTTTTAAATACCGCAAAAGTCGGTTATCAAAGTTACCATCAACGACAACTTGGCAACGGAGTTTATGAATCCATATAAATCCCACTTAAATTTTATCTGGTATCGTCACATCTAGGATATTGTTGGTTGCATATACGAAAAGCACATTTGAGAGTTTTATAGTTTCGTCTGTTCTAAAAAATCAAAGCCGCCGTCCATTTTTGGATGCAATTTACTGTTTACATCATTTAATCCAGCCTAGAAACACAAACTAATATGTAGAACCTAGATTAATGATTTTGGTTTGCTTTTTTTTAGAACTGATGGTAGCACGTCGTATAGATTTGAAATAGCCAATACATACACAAATACAGCAATTTGACATTTTACTGTTTTGAACGAATGGTTATGGCGGAGTTTCTTTGGTTTTGTCGTACATAATAGGCTAATGGATGTTGTACATTTGTTATGGCTGATTATCGGTGTTGTGTGCAAATTACATGAAACGATATTTAAAAAAGAAAAAAAAATATACGTTTGATTGATCTGCGAAGTGTTCTTTTTAGCTAAGGCACGAAAATAATGACATCACAATAAACTTAACCTCTTTTTGTAACACCAAACAAGAATTACCGATGAAAACAGAAATATAGAGAAGCAATGCGAAGTTGTATAATGGTTTAAATTTGCAGTTTTGCGAGAAATCGGTACGCCACAAATGGAGTTAATTTTATTAAAGTGGCAAATGTCTGTGTAAGCACAGCCTGGAAGTATGGGTACTGAAGTTGAAGAGTTTAATGTGATCCAGTTTGAAAAGAGATTGACTGCTTTGAAAGATTCTCAAGAAAATATAAACGCTTGTTGTAAATGGTGTTTGGAAAACAGACAGCATCATAAGAAAATTGTTAACTCGTGGTTGAATGTGTTAAAACGAGTGAAGGTGGAACAAAGACTTAATTTATTTTATTTAGCAAATGATGTTATACAGTATTCAAAACGAAAGCAATATGAATTTGTTGATAGCTGGGGCACAGCCCTTCAAAAGGCCACAACTTTGGTGCGGTAAGATTGTAACAAATAAGTGTAGTATGAGTGATGCTAACATGAATTTACTTCAGTGATGATAAGGTGAAACATAAAATTGTTAGAATTTTTAATATCTGGCAACAAAGAGGTGTCTACAATGAAGAATTCATATCAGATTTGTGTGGTTTAATCAGTGTGGTCCCAACAGCGTCTAAAAATGACGAACCGCATGAATTTCAGGTTGATTGACTTAAATCTGTAGTTGTTTTTGCCATTAACATGGATCAATTTCAGGCAAATTATGTAGTTAATAAAATCAAACAATGCTCGAAACTCGAAAATGAAACAGACTTGAAGCTCAAGGTTTTAAAAGAACACAACCCAAAAATTCAACTCGAGACTGAAACGCTTTGTATTTCGCTAAAAGGTAAGTTACTCTAAGGAAAGAGTGCAATGGTAGTTATTTGTATGATTTTCAGATCGTGCCCATGTAGATGATGTAGAAAAGGAGTTGGAGGTTTATGTAAAGCACCTAGAGGGATATATAAATGCATTAAAGGCAGAGATCAAGTGTAGAATTACAAATATTTCTGTTCTGAAGCAAGCAAACAATCACCTAGATAAAGATAAAAAGGATGTTAAAGTTGTTGCAAATGTGAGTACTTAAACAAGTTTTTAAGTCCGGATTTGACTGTGTATTTATAGGCATACAAAGTATTTGGAAACAAAGTAAAAGCATTCCAGAGGAAACTGGAAGAACACAAATCCACGTTAACTAGTCCAGTTCCATCACCTGATATAAACGCCCCCTCACCTAGTCCAGATTGTGATATTGATTTGCCTGATGATAATGAAATAAAAACTAAAAGTAAGTAATAATTTGTGTCAGTGTTCAGTGGTAAGTTATTATTTCCAGATACACTGGTAGATTATAATCCAAGAACAACATTTACGGCAGGTTATTACAATCCTGTGCCTCCACCAACTACCGAAGCTGGAAATTTTGTCACAAATGGATATACTAGTTTCATTGGTTCTAATTTTAATGTGGAGGTGAGTTTATTATTTAGCTTGGAGGTTATGCATGCATATACATAAAATTTTTTACCACAAAACTATTTATCACAATGTTATCACAACAGTCAGCGTTTGCCGCCTTTTTCATTCTGTCTGTCCGTCTGTCTGTCGTCCCGGATTTTATTAGACAGATAATCTCCAAAAGTACTGGCAGGGTTCCCAGTGAGCTGAAAAAGTCAGGGAAAGTCTGAAAGTCTTGTATAATTTTCAGTTGTCAAATTTATGTACAACTGAAAATATTTGAATTTTTTTTTCTTAGCGAGATAAATCATTGATGTATTTTTTGTCATCATTTTCACCATCTTATCTGTCGGAATAACACAACTGCCTAGATTCTTCGCATATTCTGAGACAAGAATTATTTTAACAACAAGAACACATTTTGATAGATTAACATGGAAATTGGCTCCTGTGAAACCCTCAGGTTCAGACATAGATCTTTCAAAACTTGAGCAGTCATTTTTGAAGAATGGCACTTTTGGTTCTTCCAGTTGTGTGTGAAGAATAATTTTAATGCTTCCCACTGATTATGAATGTTTTGAAATCTTGCAGATGTTTGAATTTGAATTTTTGATCAAAATGTATTTGCTCATCCCCCCTAAAAAGTTGATGACGTCACCTCAAAATTTTGCCGACTAAATCCCATAAATGTAATATTTTTACTTCCCGAATGTAACCTAAGGAGGTATAGTAATCGAATCCATCGGACGAATGGCCACTTTTATATTTTCTCTACGTTTCAAGACCCCTAGATTACGAAAAAAGTAGTCTCCCGTTTCTGTCTGTCTGTCTGTCTGTATGTATCCATTTTTTTAGACGCGTAATCTCCGAAACTGCTGGGTGTTATTTATCTTTACATCATAACAATTTTTTTTAAATTCTTCAGAAACGTCACTTTTGAAGTGTTTTCTTGTACTTTTAAGCCACTCAGATACCCTACGGGCTCGGAAAGAGCAACGAAACCATCAAATTTTAGCTAGAAACTGTATTTTTGTCGATTTTTATTGAATTTGAACTATATTTCAACGTTTTTTGATGGTTCTGAGCCACCAAACACACTTAAAGCATGCAGAATCGACTTAGAATAGGAAAAGGAGACGTTTAGGTCAATTTTATGCATTCTGGCGTTCGTAGATACAAGAAAACTGTTAAAATTCTTCAGAAACGTCACTTTTGAAGCGTTTTATTATGTCTTTTTGTTTTAAGATCTGTAGGCTTCTTTTCACAACATGAAACTTAAAACATGGTTAAAATGGAAAATTTGTATAAGAAAATATCGATTTTGCAATTAAGCTCCGCCCTATAATTGCAAAATCAATACTTTCTTGAAAAAATGTACTATTTTAACCATGTTTTAAGTTTCTTTTTGTGAAAAGATCGCTATGATATTAAGAAAAAAATTGGTCTAAAGAGTTTAGACAGTACTTCCCTCGCTGTCGGAAACTTGACGACTGCATGCCTATTGTGTTTTTTTTCTCATTACATTTTTGTAGTGGGAATTTAAAAAAAAATTGCGATGACGTCATCAACATTTTTGCAAGGACACGTATATCAGTTGGGATAGATGTAGTGTAATACTAAGAATAAAATTATTATATTCTCAAATTTTCGGGAAAATGAATTGGGTCGTTTTGAATATTGATTTGTAATAATCAATAAAATAACGAAACAATTTACTCACGTATACGTATCAGAGGCAACTGAAAATCGTGTATGTATAAACATTCTTAATTTAAGATGACAGGCGTAACAGCATACGTGAGAGTCAAACAGAGAAACTGTAAAGAAAACGACCATCGGTTTTATTGCTTCGACTTCCGCTTATTATATAAAACATTGGGTTTTATTTTAATTCTTGACGGTGAAATTCACAATTGGTTGGTTATAAACATGTCTATTTCACATTCGCGGAACCAAGTGAGCGCATAAAACAAATGCAGGTCTGTAATGTTAAAGTCGATGTAAATAAGCGTGCTACCCTTATGTTTCAACCGAGTTTTTCCTTTAACAAATTTTGTGTCTACCAAATTGGGTTGGTTGGGGTGTAATACTAATAATAAGTGTTGCCGTTAATTTAATCAATAAAATAAATTGACTTCATTAAATTTTTTGAACCACCTCTTAAGAAAATCTAAAAAATATGAATGGAATGATAAATCACAAGTACAAACTCATCATATTTTTTGCATTTTAGATAGGATTTATTCAGCAAAATTTAAGGGTGACGTCATCAATTTTTTTAGGAGGGATGAACAAATACATTTTGAACAAAAGTTTACCATGCTTATAATAACTTTAAAATATTCCCAAGATTTCAAAGCATTCGGTTTTGTAATTCCTGATTAAATCGATAAAATAAATTCACGCCTTCATTAATTTTTTTGAGTCACCCTGCATATGCAAATCCAAAAAATATGAATGGAGTGATAAATTACAAGTACAGACTCATCATATTTTTACAGTTCGGATAGGATTTATTCGGCAAACTTTCGAGCTGACGTCATCAAGTTTTTGGAGGGGATAAGCAAATATATTTTGACTAAACATTTATTATGCTCTTTATAACCTTAAAACATCTGCAAGATGTCAGAGCATTCCGTTTTGTAGTTCCTGATTAAATCAATAAAATATATTTACGCATTCATTAATTTTTTTGAGTCACTCTGTATATGCAAATCCAAAAAATATGAATGGAGTGATAAATGACAAGTACAGGCTCATCATATTTTGTACATTTTAGATATGATTTATTCGGCAAACTTTCGAGCTGACGTCATCAAGTTTTTGGAGGGGATAAGCAAATATATTTTGACTAAACATTTATTATGCTCTTTATGACCTTAAAACATCTGCAAGATTTCAGAGCATTCGGTTTTGTAGTTCCTGATTAAATCAATAAAATATATTTACGCATTCATTAATTTTTTTGAGTCACCCTGTATATGCAAATCCAAAAAATATGAATGGAGTGATAGATCACAAGTACAGACTCATCATATTTTGTACATTTTAGATATGATTTATTCCACAAACTTTCGAGCTGACGTCATCAAGTTTTTGGAGGGGATAAGCAAATATTTTTTGACTAAAGATTTATGATGCTCTTTATAGCCTTAAAACATCTGCAACATTTCAAAGCATTCTGGTTAGCAGATTAAAAATTAAATTTCAAAATGTTGTTTTATAATTTTGATTTTTTTTCCAAAAATCTGGACGTTTCGGGTGAAAAGTCGATTCAGAGTTGTAAACTACATGTGTAGGACTATGTTATTTTATACAATTGAAAACCCATTTACTATGTACAATTTTGAAGTGACGTCATCGCATTAGTGGTGGAGATGATTAGACAAATTTTGGTTAGCGTTTTACCATCTACATGATATTCTTAATATAAGTACAAAATTTCACAACAATCGGTCGAGTACTTTCGGAGATTATCTGTCTAATAAAAATCCGGGACAACAAACGGACAGACGGACGGACAGACGGACAGACAGACGGAAATGGGAGACCTATTTCTTCGTCTTCTAGGGGTCATGAAAGATCGAGAAAACGTAAAAGTAGAGAGTCGGCCGACGGACTCGATTACAATACTTCCTTTGCTTACGCTCGGGAAGTAAAAAAGTAAATTTAAATCTTGCGATTGCTTGAACCGAAACTTGAACTATTTCGTGAAACAATCATGACAATCACTTTTTTGATAGTAAACAAATTTTTGTTGTCATGGTATGCATTGAAAATTTTCAAAGCTCCTTAAATTTATGAATGTTAAGTTCCTATTCCGTACAATTTTTAGCTTAATAAAGTCGATTGTTTTGGTTCTTGGTCGTGGAAAAAATAGTATATAAACCAAGGGAAACGAAATGCATTACGCCCTTAGTGCTTTGTCGGCCTCGGGCTTCGCCCTCTAGCGTCAAATTTGCACTTCTGGCGAAATCGAGCATTTCTTTCCCTTGATTTATAGTATACTATTTTATTGTAGAAATTACCCTACTTTCTCGAAAAGCTACGAATACGCCCCCATTTTTACGAATGTAAAACCTTCTCGGGGGTCCCAACTGTCTTTTTTAAAAATGTAAAACCGTCTCGGGGGCGCCAAATGCCTTCACTTAATGTGTAACCTTCGCAGAGGTACCAACTGTCTTTTTGAAAAATCTAAAACCTACTCGGCTGCGCCAAATGTCTTTTTTTATGTGAAACCTTCTCGGGGCGCCAAATGTATTTTTTTTTTAATGTGAAACCTTCCCGGAGGTACCAACTGCTCGTTTTTTAAGAAGGCGAAATTTTCTCGAGGGTACCAATTGTACATATTTTTTTTTAATGTGAAACCTTCTCGGGGGTTCCAAATGTATTATTTTTTTATGTGAAACCTTGACGGAGGTCCCAAATGTATTTTTTTTAATGTGAAACTTTCTTGGGAGTCCCAACTGTCTTTTTGAAAAATGTAAAACCTACTGGGGGGCGCCAAATGTCTTTGTTTTAATGTGAAACCTTCTCGGAGGTCCCAAATGTATTTTTTTTTAATGTGAAACTTTCTCGTAAGTCCCAACTTTTTTTTAATGTGAAACCTCGGGAGCCCCAAATGCATTTTTTTAAATGTGAAACCTTCTCGGGAGTCACAACTTTTTTTTTTAATGTAAAACCTTCTCGGGAGCCCCAAATGTATTTTTTTAAATGTGAAACCTTCTTGGGAGTCCCAACTGTCTTTTTAAAAATGTAAAACCTTCTCGGGAGCCCCAAATGTATTTTTTAAGAATGTGAAACCTTCTCGGGGGTATCAACTGTCCGTTTTTAAAGAAGGCGAAACCTTCTCGGGGGTCCCAAATGTATTTTTTTTTATGTGAATCCTCGGGAGTCCCAACTTTTTTTTTTAATGTAAAACCTCGGGAGCCCCAAATGTATTTTTTTTCAATGTGAAACCTTCTTGGGAGTCCCAACTGTCTATTTGAAAAATGTAAAACCTACTCGGGGGCGCC